GTATAAACTATTGATATGTCCATGTGTACCCATCTGTGTGTATGCAGTGTAATGAAAACATATGGTTTAAATTTTTAAAACTTACTACAAAAAAGGACACATTGGCATTAATCCACCTCACAGTCCTCTCCCTTCCTTCAAATACACTTATTCCATCATTCTTGTCACTTCATGAAGCAGTTTTGGATGTCTTCTTTCATGAGTGTGTTTAATTAGGCTGTCATGGCTGACTCAATGTCCTGAATTGATTTAAAGCATTTATCTTTCATGGTCATTTTGACTTTGGGGAAGAGCCAGAAGTCGCACCATGCCAGATCTGGTGAATAAGGTGGATGAGGACATTTTATAATGTTTCTACAGGCTACCTTTCCATTGGATGGCGCTCAGTCAGCATTATTCATATTTTTTATCATACCTTGTAAAGATATGAAAAAGAACTTCTAGAAGTGCTTCAGAAAGTGGTAAGGGCACTGGGATAAGCATGTTCGAATGGCAATGTATCTTTTACTATAATAAGTTTTAAAAATTTAAACCTTCACCATATATTTTGGTCACCTTATGTATATTAAGACAAGCTCAGGTTCATAGGGATGCCTCTGGCTTCCCTCATCACCACGTGGATCATTCTAACCTTCCCCCTTGCTTATCTGTAGTACTACACTCCAACAGTGAGAAACCTGGTTCCCACTGTCTGCCATATATTTACTTAATGGCTAGCTTCCATTCTACAGGTATAGTAATATCAAAATTGTTACTCCCCCTACAGGAAACACCCAAATCAACCAGAATATAGTGTTCATGTGCAGTTTCTGCTGCCTTTTGTTTGCCTTTTCTCCCCTATTTGTAGAGTTATCGAAAACGGTACCTTTTCCTCCTGTTTCCTTTAGAGAAGTTGTTTCGTACACTTTTTATACAGTTAGATTATTTTGTCACATTTTGTATCCATCCTGGGATTCCTTCCCTTCCTAAATAATTTTCTGATAATTTGCACATACTAAATTTCATTCTGGGGCCGGGGATTTAGCTCAGTGGTTCCGCTGCCTGGCCCACAAACGCAAGGACCCAAGTTCGATCCCTGGTATCAAAAAAAAAAATTCATTCTATTTTGTGAAGCTCTATAAGTTTTCAAAAATTGTATATTCAGCATACAGAATAGTATTCACTACCCTAAAGACACCCTGTGTGAATTCCCAAAGCCCTAGCCACTTCTGATCTTTTATTGTCTGTATAGTTTTGCCTTTTCAAGAATGTTATATAATTGGAATTGTGCAGCATATAGCCTTTTCAGACTTAGTTCTTTCTCTTAGCAAGGCTTGTTTAAGATTTATCTCATGTCCCCCTTCCGCCGGTACTGGGGATTTAACCCAGGGCTTAAGCATATTAGGCAAGTGCTCTATCACCAAGTTACATCCCTGGGCCTTGAAATTTTGAGACAGGTTTCAGTGAGTTGTACAGGCTAGCCTCAAACTTGTGATCCTCCTGCCTCAGCCTCTGTAGTAGTTAGGAATATAGGTGTGTATCACTTTCCAACTCATACCTTTGGCAGCTTGATTACTAATTTCTTTTTTTTTTTACCGAAAAATAGTTCACTCTATGGATATATCACAGTTTGTTTATTCCTTTACCTGTTGAAAGAAATCTTGGTTGTGTCCCATTTTTACACTTGTAAATAAAGTTGCTATAAACATTTATGTGGAAGTTTATGGGTGGACCTGAGTTTTCAACTTATTTGGGTAAATAGGAACACAATTGTTAGATCATATAAGACTGTTTAGCTTTGTAGAAAACTAGCTTATTACCTTCCAAATTATCTACCATTTTTGGTTCCCGTAGGCAATGGATGAAAGTTCCTGTTGCTCTGCATCTTTACCAACAATTGCCAGGGTTTTGGGTTTTAGCCATTCTAATAGGTACATAGTGGCAGGTTGTTGTTTTAATTTGCATTTCTCTAATGACTAATGATAAGTATATTTTATATGCTTATTTGCCATTCATATTGTCTTCGTCACTTTCTCATCAATAAGACACAAAACCTGACACCTGCACCTTAAAGGAGGAGAGGTTTATTTTGGCTCATGTTTCAGTTGTCTCAGTCCCTGCAGAGTTGGACAGCTCCAGGGCAAGATGGATAGCAGAGAGGCGTGGTAGACAGGAAGCAAAAAAAGAGAGAGATCAAGGGAGGAGCCAGCGAGAGAGATAAACCATTCCACACCACAACCACAGAGACCCAACTGTTCTGATCAGACCCCACCTACAAATAGCAAGTCATCTAAAGCCCCTATAATACAACCACCTTCCAAAAGTCTCTCCTCCCCAAGCTCATGAGCCTCTCGGGGGACATCTAAATATAACTATAACATATATCTTCTTTTGAAATCTGTTACTCATATTTTATATTGGGTGGCTCTTTTACATTTGACTTTTAGGAGCTGTTTGTATATTTTGGATATGTCTTTTATCAGATATGTATTGTAATGCTTTAGATCTAGACTATCCCCAAAGGTGTCAGATGTTCAAAGGTATGGCTTGTGGAAGATAATTGGATTGTGGGATCACTGTACTCTGGACTCACCCATTGATGACTAACAGCTAAATGTGCTTGTTAGGAGGTGGGGCCTGGTTGAGGACATTCCCTGAAGGGGTAACCTGGAAGGCTTCTTGTCCCAGTCTCCTTCTTTCTCTCTTTGCTTCCAGCCCCTGCCATGGGTTGAGCACCTTTTCTTTTGCTGTGCCCCTCTGCCATCCTGTTTCTGCCTTGGAGTCAGCCAACCATAGACTGAACTTGTGAGACAAAATAAATCTCTCTTCTTTTAAGTTGTGGGTGTTGGGTTTTGTATCTCAGCAATGAGAAAGTAATTAAGACATGTATTTTGCAAATATTTTGTCCTGATCAATGGCTTGCCTTTGCATTCTCTTAACAGTATCTTTTAAATAGAAAATTCTAATTTTAATGAAGTCCAATTATCAAGTTTTTAATTTCATGGGTCGGGTTTATTTTCAGTGATAGGTACGAGATACTTGTCATGTTTTATGAAACCCAGGCTGCTACAACCTGACAAATTTGATCATGTTGAAAACAGATAGAGAAACTGAAAAAAGTTATAGTTTCTTGAAAATATACACTGTCTAAATTAGCTAATAGAAGAACATAAAAATAAATTACAATATTTAACAAAAAGTTAAACAATGTTGTTATAGTTTAGATCTGAAGTGTCCCCTCAAAGCCTAATGTGTTTGGAAGGTGATTGGATCATGGGGCACTATACTCAACAGTGGATTCATCCATTGATGAGTTCAGTAGATAAATGTGCTGTTAAAGAGGTGGGGCCTAGTTGGAAGTGGGTCACTCTGGGTATGATCTGGGAGGGTGTATTCTTCTTTGTGGCTTTTCCCTCCTCTGTTGGCTTCCAGGATGGCACGAGGCAAGCAGCTTTCCTTTGGAAGACCTTTCACCATGCCATTTCTGCCTTGGAGCCAGCCAACCATGAATTGACTGTACTGAAAACTGTGAGCCATATAAACCTCTCCTTCTTTAAGGATGTTGTGTATTTTGTCCCAGCAATAGGAAAGCTAATACAGAAAATTAGTACCAAGAATTGGGTCATTGCTGTGACTGTACCTGACCATGTGATTCAGAAGCTTTTGGAACTTGTTTGCAGGAGGAGTTTGGAAAAGTTTGGAGAAGTGGACTAGAGAAGCCCTACACTGCTGTAAGCAGAGTTTGATGGGTGGTTCTGGCTGGAGCTTAGAAAACCAAAATGCTGGTAGGCCAGGCTCAGGAGGTTTCTCCTGGAAACAAGGACTCCATTGACATTTGGATTACAGGCCATGTATGTGATACACTGGAAGAAAATTTGTCTTCATTTTTCCATGTCCAGAGACTTTACAGGAGACTGAGACTAAGGGTGGTGGACTAACTGATCTGGTGGAAGAAATTTCAAGGCAGCCCCATGTTCAGGCTATGACACAGATACTACTGACTGCTTTTTGTCTAGATTGACAGTAAGAATCAAGAGCAAAAAGCAGATGTGAAAAGTTTGCAGTTTCCCCAGAAAGAAAGTGTCTACAGAGTTGGGGCAAAAAGAGCATGGTTGCTGAAAAGATTAGCATTTTTATAAATGGCAAATATTTTGCATCAGGATATAGGAAAGATGGCTTGAAGGTATCTCAGGAATTGACCAGATCCCATCCTTCCCAGGATCAAGGGTGTAAAAGGGTAAACTCTTTTAAAAGATAATGCTCTGATTTTCTATTTTGTTATGGAGTCTAGCTCAAGAGAATAAATCACAAAAGAAGAAAGCTAACTATCAAGAGTCTTCCATGTTTTGTCTTTCAAACATACTGTTTTATATTGTTGTGGTGGTTGGCTTTTTTTTTTTTTTCCAGTACTGAAGATTGAACCCAGGGCATTCACATTGAAGTACACCCCAAGTCTTTTTAAAAATTTAAATTGTGAGACATGTTTTCACTCAGTTTCCCAAGGTGGGCTCAAATTTGCAGTTCTCTTGTCTCAACCTCTCTGAGTGCTAGGATTATAACCATGCACCACTAGACCTGGCTTCACATTCTTTTTTTCTTGATGACTGACCATATATTTGAAATCTTCACCTTGGGTATCTAAAAAAAGGAAAAGAAAAACATAATTACAGCTACTTGGTATGCACATTCTCTGTATTATTAACATTAGGGTTTGAGTACATCATCTCTGGAGAGTTAATGTAATATTTTAGCACACTCTCATAAATCTTTTTTTGTGCTAGGGAAATGCTGTTCAACTTTCTTGACTTCTGTAGTTTGTTTCAGTGGCTCATACATACAAAGTTGCTTGTCATTTCTACTTATAAGTGACACTGACATTGTTTTAAAATTTTTATTTGTATAAAGGGGATTCATCAATATTACAGAGAATATTAGATCTGAGCTCTTCTTAAAAAACAACTGTGTAGACAAGCCTTGATTTTTTTTGAGTATTAAATGAGTAATTTTTTAAAAAAAATCAGGTCCTTCTCATTCTGAAGATGAGGACACCTTTTTCTCAGTGTTTCATACTCAAGTCCCTCCAGAACATTATGAAAATGGTATGCAGAATGTCAGTCTAGGTAAGTTTTATTTAATTTGCTTGATTGTATGTATTGTAATAATAGAATACTCACTATATGCAGAAATATTTAGGGATGTCATGATTTGATATAAATGAATGTAGAGGTACGTGAAGAAGGATTCAAGAGGCTACACAATTGCTTATGAGTTGATCCGTTTGAAGTTGAGAATTCATTGTACCATTCTCTTTACTTTGGTTGGTTGAAATTTTGTGTAAGAGTTAAAGAGAAAAAGCTGACTGCAAGTAATGGAAACTGAGCTTAAGACGCAAAATGATGGAAAAGATCTTGGTAGTGCACAGATTGCTCTGGTTCCTAAGGTTAGTCATTGTGTTCTTATGGTTAGTCATTGTGAGGAAGGTCTAGTTCCAGAATCCTACAAGAGAGACTAATTCGGCTTGGATCAGGTGCCCACCCATGGTCCAACCAACTTGTCCAACCTAGGAAAGGTTGATGTCACTGTGGGAAAATGGAGACTCCTGTGGTATCGCCACTAGACAGGATAGAAGGGGACTTTTCCAGTGAGACAGTTCTGGCCAGTTCATCCAGTGTTGTTTCCCTATAATTTATTAGAAGTATGTTTTACAGAAATTCTATTATAAATATAGAAATAGCTGTATTTGAGTAACTTTAATGCTATATTTTTAAGTATATATGAAACTTCAACTGAATGGACTCAGATTTCAACTAGAAAGTCCATACGCAACTTAAATGATGGAAAACCAGTGATATATTTTTATATCTAATGTGGCCACTCACTAAAAAAAGTTAATTCATACTTTACATATTGGTAGTTTGTATTGGCAGTAATTCTGTGATTAATAAATAAAACTCCAGTTCTGAGGCAGGGGCTTATTTGCTTGACAACAATTTACATTCAGTGATCTTACTCCTTTTCTATTTCCAGCCATTTTCATCAAAATTTATTTCTTACTGGTTAAATCTGTATTGAAGCCCGGCAGGTGGCGCACACCTGTAATCCTAGCACTTGGGAGGCTGAGGCAGGACGTTGGCTCTGAGTTCGAGGCCAGCCTGAGCTCCATAGTAAATTCAAAGCCAGCTTAGACTACATAGCAAGCAAGAGCTTGTCTTAAAAAACAAAACAAAACACAAAGATTCTGTATTGAATCTTGGATAATTATCTGTAAGTAAGCCAATTGGTTCGTCTCCTTAATCTTTTTTTTTTAATCGAGGTAACTTCTCTAATAAAACAAAGGTAAATTTAAAGTCAACCTAGTCTGGCTTGAACTACTGACTGGTATTTTTTCCCTTTTGGACCTTAATGTGGCAGTTTTTTCCATTTATTAGGGCAAGCTCCGTTTGTCATTTAGGGAGACTATACATATTTTAGAACTTTAATGAAGGGTTCACATGCTCTTGTTTTAAAATCTTTGGACATGACACAGTGAAAAGATATTTAATAAAAGGAGTACAAGTCTACAAGTATTATTTGTACCTTTGTTTTGAGCACCGAGGTCTGAACCTCTCAGGGCTACTCGAGGCTGAAGGAGGGAAGTGTCCGGATGAGATGCAAGGGCAGCCAGGTCACTTATGTCCAGTGCTGAGCAAGAAGCCCACTGTTCAGAAGAGAGAAAGGTGGCAAACTAATAACATAGAGGAATCTACTCTAATCTTTAGGGGGCATTTTGGTTCCTATAAAGATAAAATATATTTTAAAGATCCTCGTAACATGAGAGATTTCTTGCTCACGTAAATGACTTGAAGTCCTGTTCGTGTTTCCTACCATTCCCAAGTTTGATACAGGATACTAGCACAAGAAGTTTAGAGAGACCTTCATTAGAAGTTATAGTAGTACATTTATCTCTTTAAGAAAAAATATACTGTATTAGGTTTCTGGATCTGGAATTTAGAAGTTAGCCAGTCTATGTGTGTTTTCTTACATATTTTAATATATACTCAAAGTGAATTTTAGTGTAATCCACAATTGTAATTATGAAAACAATTTGAACTTTTTAAATATTAGATTTTACCTATGATGTGGAAAGAAATGAGTCATTGCTCAAAGCAGAAAAGAAACCTTTCTCAAAAACAGAGAAGATTGAGCTCAGGGGTAAACACAACCAGGATTTTATTAAGCGAAACATTGAGGTAGGTACTTAGAAGTAAAGAACCACACTGTGGAACTAAATGAATTACAAAATTGGTAATCATGTGTTCAGGGTCTTTACATTTTTTTTTTCATTCACAATTAATGCATGCATCATTGAAGTGGTACGTATAACTTTAGTTTTCTTTCAAGAAAAGTTCTATGAACTAATACTTATATTTACTTTTGTATCTTAATTTTTCTATCTTACCATTTTTTGGGGGGTGGGTACTGGGGGTCAAACCCAGGACCTTGTGCATGATAAGGACGCACTCCACCACTGAGCTACATATATCCCCAGCTCTATCCCATCCACTCCTTCTCCTCTCCTTTTCTCTTCTCTCCTCTACTCTTCTGTCTTTTCCTCTATTCTTTTCTTTCTTCCCTTCCCTATCTTGTTCTTCCTTCCCTCTCTTTCATAGCATATCCTTTGCTATCCTATCCCTTTTAAAAAGGGCTACAACTAACATTTATCTTGCCACCCAGAAATAACCTGGTTCTTACAATTTCAGAAACATTTCTTTAGATACATAATGGCTTTGGACAATGTTTCCCAGATTTTTAGTAGCACACTGGTTTTTTAAAGTAAAGAGAATGATTGTATAGCGAGTGCATTTAGAAATTAATGGGAAATGCAGAGTAGCAAGGTGGGCAGGTGACACCCACAGGCGGAGCCTCCTGGCACCAGTCAGTGCCCTTGATTGGCTTCCTGCCTCAAAGGCTCATCTTCGATCCTGCAGTCTGACTCGGTTGTCTTTCAGGCAGATGCAGACTAATCAAGGGTTCCTGTATTAGAAGGAGAGATATTTGAAAACTTCTCATGCTTTATTATTGTTATTGTTGCAGTACTGGGGATTGAACGCAGGGCCTTTGCAATGAGCTACATCCCCAGCCCTTTAAAAAAAAGTTTTAAAAAAAATTTTGAGATAAGGTCTCACCAAGTTGCCCAGGCTGGGCTTGAGTTTACAATCCTCCTGCATCAGTCTCCCTGATTGCTGGGATTATTATTATTATAAAATGTTTTGTTGAAATGGCTAAGATGGCCTGTGGCTTGCTGAAAGAGGAAATACCTTTGCTTGGAGAATGGCCCATTGCAAAAAATTGGTGTAAGGGACTGAGGAAGATGGCTGCCTAGAGGGGGGCTGCAGTTCGCAAATGGCTCTGGCATAATCTTCCAAAACCAGCAGGTATGCAGCTCTGGAAGGAAACTGGGGTACACCAAGATTCGTGTAATTACAACCTGGGTGTGAAAGTAATCAGGTGACATCCAGAAAGATGGGTGATTAGAAAGCAAAGGGAATCAACTGAAACGTTGCACCCAGGCAGCAGAGAAGGTGTGGCTCACAGAGGGAGGGGAATTTTCTCCTTCCATGCAGCTGTCAAAGGAAAGACAGCACTCCACAAGCGCTTCCAACTCAGGATGGAGAAACACTTGTCCAGGTGACATGTACAGGGACATCTGACTGTAGCCAAGCAATCAGGGAACAGAGGTAGTTCCATTCCGTAGCCTAGGATTTGGGCAGGACCAGATCGGGAGCCACCTTAGTCCCCCTTGCTTTCTTCTTTGCCTCATTAAAATGGACTGGAGCAGAATCTGGATGAGAAGCCATCGTAAGTACCTCCCTTTGCTTAGGCACAAGGAAACCTCCACACTTCATGGTTCAGATACCACTGTGTGTCAGGAAGAGATGGTTACCACCATCTTGATTGGAGGAGCCTGATACAGTGGAGTCCAGAGAGTGGGAGAAAGACCACACCTCCCGTTTCTGGGGGAGCAGAACAAAGAGCAGGGAACAAGTCCTCTGTGTTGAAGTGTGATACCCTTGGAAAGCAAACTGAGGGTGGGAGCCACCTTTGAATGTGTGGTGTTAATTTACAGCACTGTGTGGATTTCCTGGGAGGCACAGGTTATGGAGTCGCCTGGTGCAGAAATCCAGAGAGGAGTGGAATAGACTGGAGTTTGGTGTCGATGCTCAGCTGGAGTGGCCAGGAGGAGCACTGCCTCTGACCCAGCCCCACCGCCTAACAAGTCAGCGATGAGCCCCCATCATCCCATCATTTTTCAAAAACACATCTTTGTGTGTGTGAGGCTTTTGGGGCACATCTGGAATGAAAGGAAAAAGTCAAACTCTACTTGCAAGATGATATGATCATTTTTACATAGAGGATCCAAATAAACTCTACCAGAAGACTCTTAGAACTAATAAATTCAGCAGAGTGGCAGGATACAAACTCAACACACAAATATCGATAGCATTTGTTTAAAAAAGTTGATAGCATTCCTGTATACAAATAATGAACCTACTGAGAAAGGAATCAAGAAAATAGTCCCACTTTTGATAGCTTCAAAGAATTAAACACCTAGGAATCAACCTAATTGAAGAAGTGAAAACCTCTATAATGAAAACTATAGTACTCTGAAGAAAGAGTTTGAAGATGACATTAGAAAATGGAAAGACACCTGCTGTTTCTGGTAGAGGAAATATTGTCAAAAAGGTCTTATTACCAAAAATGATGTATAGATTTAATGCAATTCCAATCAAAATACCAATAACATTTTTCACAGCACTAGAAAAAACAATCCTAACATTTATATGGAACCAGAAGAGACCCAGAATACACAAAGCAAGCAAACCAGGAGGCATCACAATCCTGGATTACAAGTTTTACTACAAAGCTAAGGTAATGAAAACAGTGTGGTATTGGCATAAAAATATGCATGTAGGCCAATGTAATAGAATAGAAGATACAGAAACGACCCCATGCACTTTGTCATCTGATCTTTGATAAAGGGGCTAAAAACAAATGCTGGCAAAAAGAGCCTTTTAAACAAATGGTGCTGGTTATCCACATGCAGAAGAATGAATCTGACCCATGTTTCTCACTCTGCACTAAAATCAAAAGACCTAGAAATAAAAAATCAGATATCTCAGCAAATGTTCTGGAAGGTAAAACAGAGAAAACACTTGAAGACATAGCATAGCTAGGAAGGACTTCCTGAACAGAACTCCAATTGTATAAGAAATAATACTAGGAATAAACAAATGGAGTTTATCAGGTTTAAAAGCTTTGGTACAGAGAAGGAAACATTCAACAGAGTGAAGAAACAACCTGCAAAGTGGGAAAATGTTTTTCCTAGCTACTCCTCAGATACAGGACTAATACCTAGAATATATAAAGAGCTTGAAAAAAATTAGATCCCCCAAAACAAAAGACCCAATCAAAAAATGGCAATTGAATAGATATTTCTCAAAGGAAGTGCTACAAATGGCCAATATGTACATGAAAAAATATTCATTATCTTTGACCATTAGGGAAATGCAAATCAAAACAACACTGAAATTCCATCTTTCTCCAATAAGAATGGCAATTGTCAAGGACTGAAAAAATAACAAATGTTGGTGAGGATATGGGGAAAGAGAAACCTACATCATTGGTGGGGTTGTAAATTAGTATAACATAATGGAAATTAACGTAGAGATTCCTCAAAACACTAAAACTAAAAATTTCTTTGACCCAGCTATACCTCTCCTGAAAGAGTTAAAGTCATCATACTACAGTGATACACGAATACCCATTTTATAGTAGTGCAATTCACAATACCTAAATTATAGCACCAGTCTATATGCCCATCAACAGATGAATGGATAAAGATGTGGTACATATACACATTGGAGTATTACTCAGCCATAAAGAAGGATACATTTGAGTCATTTATAGGAAAATGAGTATGTCTTGAAGCCATGTTAAATGAAATAAATCAGACACAGATTAAATATTGCATAGTTTCTCTTATATGACAGTCCCAAAATATAAATAATTTTAAAAGGTAAGGTGGTAGGAAACAAAGAGGTAGACTTTTTGGAGATGAGGGGAAAGGGAATAAAAAAATTAATTCCCCAAAGCTAATGTAATTATTATGTATCATAAACATATACTAATAAATTTGCATAAAGTAGAATTACATAGCAAATGTAAACTGCCTAATCTGATAGATTTTATCATTGTGTGTATATTGTAGAACTCTCAGGTCCCATTTTAATTGTTTTGAACTACAAATTACATTGTGTACTTCATATTTTGCATTTGTAAATTCTATAGTTAGCCAGGAGATCCAGAAGCCCAGTGCCTATGAGTGACACAGAAAAGAAAAGGCTGGAGGAAATTTTGAAGGATATAGATGACAGAGATCTGGGGGTGTCCAGTTCTGAGGTAGGTGAACTCTGGTAGTCAGTGACCTCTACACTCCTTAATTGTGGTTTTATAATTCTGTCAACTCCTTAGTACAGATTTATAATTTGTCAGTTTATGAAGTAATATTCTGTGATTTAAAAAAAATCCTATTTTATACATTTATTTTTATTGAAGTTTTAAAAGGTATTGTTGGTCAGTTCACTACTGCCTGTGAAGAATTAAGTCCTTATGAGAGTGTCCACACATGCGTTGTTACAATAAAACCTCTGCCTGTGACGTGATGGGTTTAGTCATCATGTTTCTCTGTATCCTTTTCCAAATATTCCCATGCTGGTTCTATGGCCTTTCAGTGTAGTCTTCAGTGATCCTAAAGATCACCATCCTGCTCCTTCCCAGTTCATCTTGACCATCTATTTCCTGGAGAGCCTGAGAGGGGAGCCCAGACTGGGCTGATGGTGGAGTGGCAGGTAACAAAAGGGTCAGATGCAGTTACGCATTTGTAGGGAATTACCTGGGAAGGTGTGCAGCGGTCCTCATTTGTACATACTTGCATGTTAATCTTGTAGGAATGTTCTTTACTTCTACAAAGGAATACACCCTCCTGTGTTCCCTGAAGCACTTTGCCCTGTCACCTGGCTTTTATTTTCCAATATTCATTGGAGACATGGAGTGAGTGCTGCTGGAACCCTGCCCAGACCCTTCACTTGGCTCCTCTCTGTGTATCCTGTCCTGTGCTAAGAGTGCATAGCTATCCCCTTCCCAAGCCAAACAGGAGGCAGGTGACACAGCACGGCATCTCTTCCCACTCCAGGTCCCTTGCCTCGATTTGGGCTCAGTTCTGTGGTGCTACCGAAGGATCACACTAAAGCTGCTCTTCAGCGAGACCACCTCCTAGCTTACCTTTGGACTCTTGACCAAGCCTATTAGACTCACGTCCCTGCTGCGGAAGGCATGCCTCCAGGAACTCACTTGGCTAAGAATCCTTACCACAGGTTCTGTGTCTAGGCAGCCACCTTCAGACACAGAGGTTCAGAGGGTCCAAGGTGGCTCATGTGCAGTGATAGCTGGGCCAGTGGTGGTGATGGTGGTGGGGCCAGGCCACAGAGTGGACTCTGCATTAGTGAGTGGTGTTATGTGAGAGTCCCAGCCCAGGGCTGCCTGGATCCTCCAATTCTGTGGGGTTGGGAAAGAACAAAGGAATTCACATTTTTTTATGGGAAACATTAGACATTTTAAATATTAATAATGAATTACATTAAAGAAGTTCTATGTGGGCAAACAGAATGTGCCCCCTTTCACACCAACCAAAAGCAAATCTACAGAATATCACATTATAACCTCTGAGTAATCTTTTCTGATCTGGGGAGGGCCCAGCAGGGGCTGTGTCTAGGAAAGGAGGAAGGTGTGAGTGAGGCACACTGCTTAATACCCATGTAGTCTTTTTTTTTCTGTATTAAATTCTTTTATTGGTACATTGTAGGTATACAACACAATTACATTTCTCACTGGGAATTGTACCTTTACATGATGCATCTTGGTTCTTA